CCTTCATCATTTTACATTGAGCCATGTTTATGATTGTTATTAGCAGGCGGCAAAGTTTCGGCGACGCTTTTAATAAACTTTCTGGCCTGGCATTGCAATGAGTTTATGCAAATTGTACACAAATACAAGTAGGGTGTTGCCCGAGGCGAACGGCAATAACAACAAATTTCAATTATGCCATAAAATCTATTTAGGTGTATAAATATTTGGAAAATTTGTGTACGCCACAAAAGTTGGTCGTCTCCGGCGTTGTGTTGGCGTGTAATTTACAGATTTTCTCGTTAAGATTACGCCAAAAGTTGGCGCTATTGTCGTGCCGGCTCTCGACATTGACGCATAATTGGCAGCAACATGAAAAGTCAATAAACGAATCAAAACAACAAACGGTTACGCCAACTCGAACGCACACAGCAACACGGCTTCGCCATGTTGGACATGTTGTAAAATAAATTTTGTGTCGAAAGGCCCGAAAGTTGAAGCTCATAAAATTGTTTTGTATTGTAAAACGTAATTAGAATTGGGGCTATGTACATTTCACTAAATTTGATTTCAATTAGAAAGCATAAATGGCCCTGCTGTGAAGACCTCAGGGTCAAGCTCTCCAGCAACCAACTATACAGATATGCCCCTCGGGTTCATTAACTAAATGAAGTGTGTTCGTGTGCCAGGCCAGCACAAAAGTTGGCTCAAACATGCGAAAACACTTGACGTAGCTTATGTCCTGGAGTCAGGACTTGTCCGTTATGCGAAAGTTTATTTAATGTTGCCTACTTTGAAGCACTGCAAATAATCAAGTATACGCCTAGTGTGCATTAAGTGCTGTTTGCTAACTCTTCTTTCGTATTACTAGCTCAATTTACTTAATTAATAAAAATGCCCAAATGAATGAGCCCACGCAAATAACATGAAATTGTACGTCAGCTTGATTCAGTTGTGGCTCGAAGCGTACAGAGTACATGAATTAGATTAGATGTGAGGGGCAGATATGTGGGTGTAAATATAATGCTATATAATTACAGGAACATAATATGTAAAGAGAAAACCGGAGTTATATTGCTATGTACATTTTCGACCAGTTTTCATACTTTATGTTAGTATTAAAGTCCATGTCGCCTAAACTTTTTAATAACTCGCCCGATGCGTTGCAAGTTAAAAAAAAAGTAATTTAAAAATCGCTCCTCTATGCGATTCTCATGACTACAAGGAAGCCTGACAGGGTTTCATGCTTTCCACATGTGCTAGATTGAAAAGTTCTGTTGACATTTTAATAAACATTATATTTATTTTATTTATTCTCCTACACAATAAAACTTGCTTTCCCGTCTACTTAAATAAAAATTCGTCTGCATATGTGTATTTTTTGAATACATATCTATTTATGTTGAAATATACAAATGTATATCTGAAGGCAATTCAGCTACTAATATATATACTTATTATGCTCAAGTAATGCCTTTTTACTTTAGCCAATGAAGGCAATGAAGGCAGCTGGCAATTTTGTTTTGATCCCAATCCCTGCGATATGTACGCCTTACATTGACTCGGGCGCATCAAAAACACGTTTGCCCATGTACCACACATGGATCTGAAGTGCCTTGCCCATTTACTTTATTGATTACAGATTTTGCTTGCCATTGATTGAAGCTCAAGTGTGCAGAGGCGGCAAAACAAAGAAGTAGAAACAATTTGGCTGTTTTGTTATTGGAAATCGAGCAAAGCCGGCAACGTAGGCAGCTATGCAAACTGCCACAATATCCCGTTGTCTATGCTCCGATTCGAGCCACAAAACGAAGCAGAGCTGCCTACGGCCAATTTCTGTTGATTAGAGTAACTGCTGGGGCTTTTGTTATTGTAAGTGCGCACTCCATATTAAATGACCACAAATTGCATAAATACATTTTCAATATACGCTTGTGTCTCAATATGAAATTGATATATATATATATATGTGTCTATCTGAAAATAAATAAGTGCGGGGCAAACCTTCATAATTTATGTAGTTTATCACATGCTTATTTTTTTTTTGCTGCTTGTTGTTGTCAGCTCGGGCAGGCCGGTTGAAAGCCAATGCCGGCGCATTTGTGTCAATTTAAATTTATGTAAACATAAAATGGCCAACCAAATGTCCTGCGAGCTGCTGCACGGCTGGGTATCACATATTTCATATAAATATTTTGCCTTATTTTTTGCGCCTTTTTTTTATTATTTTTTATATATATGATTTAATGCGTGCGGCACGCCATGACGTTCACTTAGGCATGGACACAATAAAAATGTTGCCACAACAACAGTAACAGCAGCAGCAGGACACGCTCGCCTCTTGCGCACTTTTGACATTTCATTATCCTGTTAAGTATTCAAAAGTCAACCAAGCAGCCAGCCCCAGCACACAGACGCACAAATTGTGGCCGCTCCCCGGCCCGTTGCCTGTGTCTGTCCGTGTCTGTCCTCCTTCCCCCTGGACACGCCCCCGCTGTTGTCATTCGGCTGCGTAGCCAGCTTATCATTTATGCCGAGCGCGTACTTTTGGCTTTTACCCCGCAGACCATGCCTCCTACCGGCGCGTTCCGTGCTGCCCATTGTTGTATTGCCGTTTGTTTTGTCTGCCCGTAATGTCATGCGGAATTGCCTTTGTGTCCTTGGCGTTTATGACATTATATTTGTGTGTTATGCTTGTGTGTGTGCATGCGTGCGTGTGTGTGTGTATAAATTACATTACACAACAAGCAATATAACAAACGATAACAAACACCTTGCCAAGAAAATATAAAAATAAACAAAACAGTCAAGCAAAAAACAATATAATAAAAATGTTTTTTGGCCCTTCGATTTCGCTCAGGCCTGCTTTATGTTATGTAATTTGCTTATGACATGGCTAATGACAGTCATTGCCTCCTGTTCAAGGACCTTATTTTTATTTTTTGGAGGGTCAGAGAATGTGGCTTCAGCTGCTGTCAGTTGCTGTGTCTGATATTGCAGTTGCCCGCTGCATTTAGCTGACAAAAATGTCGAAGCATTTCCAATGGCAACTTTTAGTATTTTACCATTTCGATTTTCAACCAATTCCAATTTTAGTTTTCATTTTGTGTTCAGCCCAGCGCACGTGCTTCCCGTGTGCTCTTGAGTCTGAATGTCGGGTTCATTGGCAAATTTCCTGTGTATTTGCTATCGATTGATTAAAATTGCGAAATGCACAACACAAGTGATGGCAATAAGGATATAAGCCAAGCGTTCGACACAAATGCTATTTGCAGTGTGAACCCCTTTTACAATGTTCAACAATAAATAAAGATGTCTCTGGCCACAAGCTAAGCGGGGGCTAGTTTGGGTTAGTCTGGCTTGTAGGTGCATCTGTCTACATAATCGTTTCGTTTTCTGTTTATGTATGGATGCAAAATCTGCAATGAGTACCAAATGCGCGTATGAATGGGGTTGGCTTTTATATGAGTACGATAGAGTAGTCTCTTGAAATGCTTATAGTTGTAAATGAGTGTTCATAGACAAGTGAAAATTATAGCCTTGGGTCCGGAAGCGTTGAGTAGTTTTGCAAAATGTCGATGATTATAATTGAAATGTCAGAAGGGATCTGAAAGATTTCATGATTTTTCTCGGGCTGGTATATTCCATATTCTATCCTTGTTATTTTTTCGACCAGTCTAAGGAGACTAGAAATATGTCGATGATTTTAAATAAAAAGTATTTTGTACGAAAAGAAAAGTGTGTGTATGTATGTATGTATGTATGTGTGTGTGTGTGTGTGTGTGTGTGTGTGTGTGTGTGTGGGCATGTGTGTAAGTGTATGCATGCATGTATGTACGCATTTATGTATATGTATTCATTACAACGCAGACCAAGCTTATTTATCGCTGTGCTGCAAAATTAAAAAAACGAATTTCTGCCAAGTGCTCTACTCCTCGATTCTCAAGAATTCAAGTAGGCCCTGCAGTTTTTCATGCTAAACTAGTGCTCCAGCGGCCTTTGGAGGAGCAACTGGTGGAGGTGGAGCAGGAGGCGGTGGAGGAGGTAAGTTGGTTTGTATGTATGTAGATGTATGTATGTAGATGTATGTATGTAGATGTATGTATGTAGATGTATGTATGTAGATGTATGTATGTAGATGTATGTATGTAGATGTATGTATGTAGATGTATGTATGTATGTATGTATGTATGTATGTATGTATGTATGTATGTATGTATGTATGTATGTATGTAGATGTATGTATGTATGAATGTATGTATGTATGAATGTATGTATGTATGTATGTATGTATGTATGTATGTATGTATGTATGTATGTATGTATGTATGTATGTATGTATGTATGTATGTATGTATGTATGTATGTATGTATGTATGTATGTATGTATGTATGTATGTATGTATGTATGTATGTATGTATGTATGTATGTATGGATGTATGTATGTATGTATGTAGGTATGTATGTATGTATGAATGTGTGTGTATGTATGTGTGTATGTATGTATGTGTGTATTCCCTCAACGTTTTTTGCGATTTTTTCACACATTTAAGTAAAACTTCCCGAAATCTCGTCCCACAATCAAAATTTCATAACGAACATTCAACGAACTGCTTGCACAATCATGTTAGATAGGTTAGATAGCTTGCATTGCCTAGTGTGTATTCTAGTCTTATGTTTAAAAGTGTTCGTTTGGGTTGTCTCTTTGTTTATGAATATGATTGAGTAATCTTAAGAAAAAAGAAAATACTGCATATCGAGCGGGATGCACCTTGTTAACTTGCCTTTACTGCCTCGGTTAGACGACATATCTATTGAGGACTCCATCGTTTCTTAAAATGATTGAATTTACCAAGTATCCGCTGCTTATTGATTTATCTGCAATCTCAAGTGCTAGAATCTGCAACTCTGTATCTGTTTAAGCATCTTAAAAGCAATCACTGCCAACGAGCTGTCTGGCATACATATAAGTTTTAAATCCTTTTATTTTTACCTATATTTATTTTTTTTTTTTTTGCAGACAACACCTTAGCTGGCAGGCAAGTAGTCACCTAGTCGCCGAGTCACCGCATCTTCGAGTCAGCCTTGGAGCAGCCAATGCAACCAACACAGACACGTGAGTATACGGCAGTTATCAAAGACTGCACAGGTACAGATATGTATATGTCTGTGTGCATGTGAGTGTGTATGTGTATGTGCATGTGTATCGGCACTATATATCTTGGACATGTGTTGACCATCAACTTATGCAATCAACCATTTGGCTCTGGCCAGGCAAACGGCAGACCGTTTGGGTGCTATGTAAACTAGAGACGTGAAGGACTAGCAGGATGCGGGGGTGCCCTGATGGTGACGACTAGGACGGGCTCCGACCACGACGACAAATGTTTATTTAAGCATAAAGCCACGTACTCTGCAATCACACAGCTATACACCCACACACACACACACACACATACAGACAAACTAGGGGCACATATGTGTCTGTAGGTGTGTGTGCGTGTGTTTATGTACTTAGGCGCAGCTGTACTTGGAGACTACGTCTGGTAATTACATACAGCATGTGAGTTCAACACACATTCTTTTTGGCCCAAACCGTCCCCTGCTCGCCCTCCCCTTCGACTGGGGCTGCTGCATAAATATTTGTTTTAACCTTTTTACCCTTTTGTGGCCAATGGCTTTGTATTTGCTTTTGGTTTTATGGCAGCGGCTGTGTCACTATTTCATTTCGATTTAAACAAACTTTGCCACGCTCTTTGCTGATTTTGTGCCCCTAATTTATTTATTTGCGATCCTGCTGATATTTAGTAATTGAGTTTTTCTTTCTTTTTTGTTGCTCTTAATGCTGATGAGGGTTCTGGCTAGATGGGTGCAAAGTGTTGCACACATCTCTCGTAGACTCGGCACGTTTCACAACAAATGTGACTCAGTTGCCCTGCTTAAGGATATTTATGTGGACAGCGTGTGCGACAGCACCAGGAGCAACAGCCACAGCAGCCGAAGCTGGCTGAAAGGATACTCCTGCCACGGGTTAATACAATAAACTTTGAATAAAAGTGTCTCCCTGGGGGCAACTCGATGTCGTTGCCATGCTTCAGCCCGTGTCGTCGTCTGTTTAGACTTTTTGTCTTAATTTATCGTTATGAATGAATCACTTTGTGCCATTTGGCGGCTGCCCGGGAACCATTGTGTCTATGTATGTTTGCCAGCACGTATCCAGGATGTGCTCGCACTTTTGACTTAATTTGATTTGATCAAATGAATTTCAATTAAACAGAAATAAAATTTATGCGCCGACAACAGCTCTAAACTTCAAACTGCAGAGCTGAATGAAGACAAATGCGATCGCCAAATAGGTTACTCAAGCATTTAAGAGCTGCTGAATAGCTGAGAAATTGACTACTTATCAGTGTCCATAGAAATTGTCTTCATTTGCGCCTGAATCAAATTTCTATTTATTTTCATTTCGCTATTGATTTCATGTCATATTTTTCCTATTTTTTCTGAAGGATTTAGGCCTGAACAGACAACGCTGATTGTTTGACTGCTCATCATTCATAAGGTGAATGTGTGGGTGGGCGAATGTGGGTGGGTGTGTATTTATGAGTATGTTATAATGCAACGTCGGCGCTTATTATTCCAAACACACACACACACACACACACACACACACACACATACATTCACACGGAGCGAATGTGAACGGCCGCTGTCAACAATGACAACGGTTGATAACAACTCGATAGAATGCCGACGACAATGCTGACACATCGAAAGATTGTCATTTCATCAATTATTCAACAACACGCAAATCAACAACAACAACAACTACAACAAAATGCTCAGCCGGCAACAATCCAAGAGTCATCGTCAGTGCAAACAGCTCCTCTAATGGCAGGCAGCGCCAACATTGCAGCACCTACTCCCAGGAATCGCAGAGATCCAAATATTAAGTGATACAATTTGTATTTGGAACGTTTGCCGCAGGCAACCAATGAATAACAGGCCAGGAAGAGGTTGGAGCATAACAAGAGAAAAAAAAAATGGAAAAAAATAACCTCATCGACATGAATATCTGAGTGTTTTTATTTATGACTGTGCGTCAATATTCCGGCCTGGCCGGATTGCCGGAATAGGGGGAATGGGCCATGCTCTATGACACAACTACAGCAGAAATCAATCAATTCAGCGCCCCAGCACCGAAACCGTAAAAACTAAGAGCCGATCAGCTTAGCGAAGTGCTGAGTAACAAGCGTTGCGAGTATCAAGTGGGAAGCTATAAATCGATGCTTGACATGGTTAAGTGCTTGTGCTTAACAATGGCTAAGCTGCCCAAAGTGGAGCTTAGGCCTTGTTGCTGCCAGTTACTGATAAGGCGTAAACATCTCGAGTTTATGACATCACAGTCATAATTCGCATAACTATTGAAATAAACCTGTGCCTAGTTATTGACGGTAACGTTGTCCCGTTTTGCAGTTATTGCAATCAATAGGGTTTGGGGCTATCGATAGTTTTCCAAGGCATTGCGATCAGATAAAGAAGATGGTCGATTTTGACGACTATCGACAATTTCGATATATCAAGAGCGCCTGTAAGCACTCATAAAATTGTAGTTAATTCCTAGCCAGCACTGTTTCCAAAAATAAACCACAGCTTTGCCAAAATTTATTATAGTGTGCCTCCCATTAATATCTGAATTCCGTGATAGCCCATTTAAATAACCGTTCAGCCGTCTTTAGGCAAGCTTTAATCTTAATAGGAATTATTAGTAGCTAATGCTTGCCATTTGGGTTGGCCCATGCAAAAACAAGAAGATTAATTGTTTGTTTATACAAAACGGTTGATATCATTAATTTTATGCAGCCTAGCAAAAACATATTCGGTGCGGGCAGACTTTGTCGGGATCTTTGCTGTCGCAGACATTAATCACTTTATGGACTTTAAATGGGGCCATCAAATGAAATCTTTTTTCAACAACTTTTCAACTTTGTTATGCCATAATCATGCTTGAATTATGCATGCTCAACCAGATTGGCAGGTGGGCCGGTCTTAGTCATAGATGTTCATTAATTTTCATGAACTTGCAGTAGTGCAGCTTCCTGAATTATTATTCTTTGCGCATCCTTTGAGTCGACAGTTTTGAAGGCTTTCAGTTTTCATTTCCGAAATGACACACAATATTTTGCTGTTGTTGTTGTTTTTGTTTGATTTTGTCATGTTCTCCTGGGGCCCAGGATACTGAGCAGTGTTGATGAATTTCCCTCTTCATCATAATTATAAGCACCCGGCGGAGAGACAACAGTTGGTTTTTTAGTTTTTAGTATACCCTGTTAGAAATACGAAAAGCAGTATGTTCGGCTTGTGACACCTTGATTTGTGAGCTAGAGACATTTTATTTACTGGCGTGTAGAGCTCATAATCATCTCAAGACTCTACCTAGTATGTGATTGCAACTTCCATTCACAAGCTTTTACAGAGTATTCAGAAGTTGGGAGTTGCTGTTCACATTCCAATTTGTTGGTGTTCTAAGCACTAGACCCATTCAAAATAGATAAAAGATAAAAAACTTTTTTGCAAGTGTATAGAGTAGGTAAAAGGAAGCGTCTCCGACACCATAATATGTATGTGGTCTAATCTAGACATGCCACTCTATCTTTCCCTTGCCAGTCCGTCTTGGAAAACTCGGGTACAGCAAAAGCAAAAACACTTGAAGTATGTTCATTTTAACCGTATGCATAACTCTGATATTCTAAGAGATCTATACACTACAACCGATATTAGATGTCTCAACCTATTCTCCCAATAATTGGAAGTAAACTTTTTTAAACACCCAAGTCAATCAAGATTGTTTTCTTATACACAGTGTGAAGTAAAGGGAAGGAAGCAAAACAGCAATCGAAGTAAGGGCAGCTTGACGATGGGTTCAGGGTATCTCCTGGTCGTCTACACCCGGCTAGAGCTCTCTCACTTCTTTTTGTTGTGCTTCCTATCCCGTATATGTGGCATAATATGCTGTCCCACTTTGTGTTGCATAAAAGTTGCTCCTCTTTGTGTGTAGCTGCAATTAAAAGTGTCAATGACAATGTTGCCTCTGTTCTCGCTGTTGTTGCCGTTGTTGTTGCCGTTGTACTTGGTGTTCGGCTCGTTAGCTTTTATTATTGTTGGCAGTGCCATCGTTATGGCCATTGCCGTCGTCTCCATCGCTCATTGTAATTACGATAATTACGACAAGGACTGAAAATGCAGCTCCTTGCATTGCACCTTAATGAAGCAAAATTCAATCCATTCAGATTCCAGCGTGTCCTCGAATCGTGCCCAGGTCCAGTGTGTGCTCCCCGGTTACACTGTTCGGCAGCCCCCGCCCCTGTTTATCCACTTAGCGTCACACGACATTGCGTCGTTAATTGAAAACTGGCGCATTAAGCGAAAGTTGCCCTCGTTCCCCCGCATGCCAGCCAGCCATGCCCAGGCAAAGCCTACTTGCTTTTATAATTTCTGCTTTTTAATTTTTCACATTGTAATGCCCGCGCGCTGGCATATTTATTTATTAAAATTTAATTAAATACCTTTTAAGATTCTTGCACATGACTGCAAAATATTTTTAATGAGTTTTCGCTTTTGTGCGTGTAAAATATACAAAAGTTCCTCCATGTGCAACATATCGCAATGTTCGTTAAACCACTTACAAACAAATTAAGCATACGTTATTTATGGCGACACTTTTGGATACATAAGTACATCCAGAATATATCATTTTCTATAAACTCATGGATAGGAAATAATATTGGCAATTGCATATTTAAGTCCTTTATTTCATTCTTTGTTTTCTTTATTTGTGTCTATATAAAAAATAATTATTTAAGCTAGTTAAATTTATTTCTCATGCTTTTTTGTTTGCTGTTTAATTTAGGCATTCAGTTTTATCAGGTTGTCCTTGCTACCTCGCCTTTATGGCTAAAACAGAAGCGAGCTCTTGTGAGGCAACAAAAGATAACTTTTTCGTAAAAGCACAATAATAATAAATAATAAAGACTTGGCCTGGACTGTGCTGGTTGCAAGCACGAAAGAGCCTAAAAGAGAACTCAAACGAAAATGCAAAATATATACCAAACGCTATCCGTAGACCTTGTTCTATAGACGTAAACATTAGCCGTAGCCAAAACCCCGGCCAGACATTGAATTGACCTTAATAAAGTCGACGGCTGTGGGGGCTGTGGTTGCTCTTGTCTGTTGTCGACCTTTTTCATTCGGCCGCTAACCTAACCACGCCCTGTTTCCACCTTTTTTTCTTGCTTTCAGAAAATGCTGATACTGCTGCCGTTGCTGAGTATATTTGGTAATAGTCTCATTGCTGGAGTCGGGGCGAATCTGAGCTTGGGCTTTCAGGTCATCAGAGTGAGTTATGCAGACATACAAATAAATAAAATAGATGTATTTATGAATTATATTACTTAAATTCTATTCTCTCTAATTGTGCATACTAAAGCTGCCAAGGCATATAAATCCCGGTAAGTCCATTTATGTATATATTTGTGTTTTCTTTTCATCAATTGAATCAGGCATTCAACTGACTTTAAGCTAAGCAAATCATCGGGCGAGTAGTGTCTCGCAATCAATTTGAAATGAATATTGAAAAAAATGCAAAATTACATTCACTTTGCGCTTCATTAATCAAAGGCACTTCGCCAGCCGCCACTTCAGATGTGCGTCTTCAAAATCAACCCAAAAATAATTTACTAAAGAAAAAAAAACTCGAAGACCAAAGTGCAACAAAAAATATACAGAACAAAAATAAGAAAATCATGGGGCAGACAGACAGACAGACAGAAAATTTCCCATTTAGGCAGCCATCAATTTTAAATATTTTTCGTGTTGTTAGCCAAATAAATATTCATTTTAAGGCGCAGAAAATGCCAAATAAAAAAACACCAAGAAACCAAATTGTACAAAAAACAAGTGAGGCCCCTTAGTTAAGAGTGCTCGACCCTGAACTTGGTTTTAACAACAACAACTGCTGCTCATGTTAGGATGGTGATGCAGGGAGTTGATTTGTATATACTATTCCAGAAGCTACACTTCAACTTTGGTTACTTAGCTCTTAAAGCTTATGAGATTTTTTGATCGATTAATTGGAAACGGGAAAACTAATCGATTATTGGACCAATGTTCAAGTCTTTAGCTCTTAAAGGTTCTGACAACGACTCGTAAAGACATACTAACAGACGCACGGACGGATGGATATGGCTAGATCGCCTCGGCTATTTATGCTGTTCAAGAATATATAAAAGCTTTTCAGGGCACAAATGTCTCCTTCTGCCTGTTACGTACACTTGAAGATAAACATTGTACCCCATTATACAACATTATACAACAAATGTTTAGCAGCAAAAGCAAAAGTAAAAGAAAGTTTTTGGCTCTCATTAATTTTACGTTTAAGAAGACTAAATATTCGAAATATTCCATACAGCGTTTAAATTATCAGATAAATCTTGTTTAATGAAAGTTAATATAATTATGTGTTATCTTAAACAAAAATCCAATCAATTGTTGCAGCTTTACTTAATGTTCAGCTGCAAAGCTCGAAATATGCTATGCACCATCAAAAAATACATCCTTTATAGTTTGTGTTTCAAGGCAAAAGAGAATTGAATTCCAATTTGCAAAACGAATGTTATTTTTTCGTAGCTAAATTTGCAAAAAGTTGCAGAAAACTCGTCTCAATACCCTTTGTGCTGGGCAGTAGGCTAATCCCAGCCAGTGCTGTCTTCTGGCTGCGGCAGCCAACTAACGAGCAAAGTGATTTTAATCGATTTATTTTATTATTTGTCGAATTGCTTCAAAAGAGTATACAAAAAAATGGAAGGAAAATAAAATTCATTCAACATGTTTGCCTGCTGCTTCACATGTTGTCGAGCAAAGCTTTTCAAAATTAAACAGCAGCACGAACTGTGCCAAAAACTTTTCGATTTGGGGTGTTACAACAAATACAACCAATTTTCCCTTCTGGCCATATCGCTGCATATGTTTTATGGGTGTGTGAATGCCGCATTCCCGCAGCCCCGCACCTCTGCACCCGTCCCAAGCTCCACACTCCACGCTGCAGTTAAAAGCCAAAAGTTTTGAGTCAAATGCCAATACAGTTTGTACGTCCATGAGCTGCCGACGCCTGTTGTGGGTTCGTAGCTGTTGCTGGTATCAAAAACCCCGCAGCGCTCTTCACGTCCCTCCCTTTGTAGGTATGTGGGTGTTTTTCCTCTCTCTGTGTGTGTGTGTGTGTGGGAGTGTTGTGTGGGAGTGTACGAGTATGTGCCATGGGCGCATATCAATGCTCCACACGTTGTGCTGCCTGTGGCGCTCCCCGCTGCGCTGATGCATTGTCCAGGCAAAGCGGAACAAGTTTATTTAAACTGTAAAACTTGTTCTTTTTTTTTTTTATTTGGTTGTGTGACGGGGGTGGCGGGGGCGTGTTACTTGTGCAAAAGTTATCGAAACACGAAAAATGTGGAGCGTGTGCCCGTGTATGTGTATTCGTGTATGCGCTGACGAAATAAGCTCACAAAAAAATAAATTTACGAAAACGTGAGAAATTCTTGTTTAAACAACATACTAAAAGATTTACTGAAGCTGCAAAACGAAAAGATTTCTAGAATTTCTGCACACAGAATTAATTATTCAAATAAGCAAATGGTGCGAAAATAATAGAAAGTTGTGCTTAAGCCAACTTTAAAGAATGGCACAAATCCAATATAACGTCTGTGCCATTTTCTGCTTTATTTACTTTTTCAATTGGAATAAAACTCGGCTAAGCACATAGAACTTGTTTTTTTTCGACTTGCTAATATCGTGGCCCGGGCAAACAACATTGAGCACACAATTTGTAATAAAATTGCGCATACGCAGCGTTGTCCAAGGAGCCTTTTGAACGGGGACTTTATAGCAGTATCTCAGCTAGTGTGTATGTGTGTGTGTGTGTGAACGGGTGCACACTGGTCAGTGGGCACTCAAAACTTGTCGCCCACACGCTCGAGTGTTGTAAATCTTTGCACAAAATGAAACTTTATTTGGTCATGGTCATCAGCGACTTAAGTAAATCTAAAACTCTAAGTAAAACAAACACTACAGGCCCGGCATAAAGCAAATAAACTGTTCAAACGTGACCCCAAACCAGGCACCAGGCACAGGCCAAGCCGAAGACATGTGATGATGACCCCAAACAGTTGTTGGACAGCGAGCGCACAAAAATATGCTACACTTTTTGCCGCCTCTCTCAGGACACGGCCAATGGGTGACAGGACTTGGGCTTGTCGCAAGGTAAACAATAACAAAGAACGAGTACATTACGGAATACAAAAAAAAAAAAGAAGAAGGGAAAACGACAAGTATAATGCATAACATGAAGTTATAGCTAGGATAAGTCGGCCCACACACTCACAACTACAACGGAACGAAAAGGGGCAGGGCGATAGGACGACACACATAACTGCTTAAGTACACTCTAGCAAAGCGTAGACAGTCTTAAATGTTGACAGCTAACGTAGATAAAAGTGCTCACATTGCAATTCCTGTGTTCACTTCCGTCTTAAAGGCGGCCGTATACCCTGTAAACAGACATAGAACGTTTAATAGAGAGTGTTGATTTGGCTAAAGATTTGCTTGGTTTCACTTGAAGTTGAATTGTGTTAGGGCATCTTGAGTTGATCATGTGCTGCATTTTACTTCACTTTCTTTTTTGCTGTTCTGGTCGATTCGTTAAGGGTAAGCAGCGATTGCTAGTAAGGAGCAATGACACACTCACACACACACACACACATCGAACTTTACTTCCTGATATGTAAAGTGATGAATGTGGGTGTGTGTGTGTGTGTGTCTGTTAGACAGCTTTTGCTTAGGTGTCTGTGTGTCTTATGCCAGAGTACATTAAGAAGATTGCACTTTCGAAAATGACACAATTCACCACAAAGTAAAAGGTGTAAGGTGCAAGCCAAGGACAACGAGCACGTTTGCTGCTTGCATGCGCCAAAGGGAAGTGAACGACAGCTGGTGTCACTTCCGGCAACAGTAGCTGATGCTACCAGGCGAGTTTTCAATATATACAAATCTAATTGCTAATGGCATAAATATACGACCACGTGCTTATATTGTATTATATCACAAACAACGTGCAGTGGCAATTTTCGCATTTCACCATTGATGCCAAATGAATGATGATGCCACAGCGTGGGGCATATCCAGGCAGCGTATCTGGCTAACAGAGTCACGTTCTTGCCGAAATCAATTCACCAACATGCACAAGAAAAGTGGAAAATTGCCAGCGAGCACGTAGCCCTAAGTACCAGAAGGTGTGTGTGTTTGTGTGTGTGTATGGGTGGAGGTGTCTTTGTGTGTGTGTGTGTGGCGGCAGTTCTGTGTAACTGCGAAATTGCAAATATCCAATGACAAAACCAGAAAACCTCGAATAATTGTGATTGGCGGCTAGAAATATTTGTGTGTGTCGCACAGCAAAGTCAAACTCTTGCTGCCTAATGGCGGCTCATAAAGCACAACATTTGTCAGTATCAATTTTGATGAGGCACGACAATAACACACACGACATAAAGTCTATTGTTTGCTGTGTAAATATAGCACAGTATTGTAAGCCACACATTCATATATGTGTGAGCGCTGGCATGTAAAGAAAATTTATAACAGCAGCTCCCTTCATATTAATTGGTTTTTTTTTTATTTTCTTTTTCATTTGACATGTGTTGTAACGAGTCCAAGGGAAATGACAGTCGAGTGAATTGCTAATAAACAACTCGTGGCAGCGTAATTATGGCAATAACAACATTCAATTCCAAATGACTTTTAGGGGTTGCATATAGCAAAATAAATAACAGATTGCGGAGATTGCAAAAGAGAAGCTACACATTAAAAAGGAAATGGGAGTTGGGTATATCAGAGGCGGGCGTGCTCGTGACATGAGTACTCTATTTTACCATTGATTCAATAGATTATATAGTAGACCGATTTGATAGAGAATAGTGAAGCTCGACGATGCGTCTGGACAGTTTGGAAAGTCTAGATAAGATATTTTGAGAAAAACAATAGTTTACATTACAGAAACTAATTTATTGGACCGATTTTTTCTATAAACTATATCACATGGAAGTTCCATTCTTGTAAGATTTTGTTTACACATGTTAAAAAAAAAATAACAAAAAAATGTTTCAAACAAGTCTTGGCCAAAACAAATGCCAGCTGCTATATGATATGGTACTCCGATCTGGGCGATTCCCACAGAAACGCGGACTTAAAAATTGTGACTTAAGTTTGCATGTGTTCTCCTCCTAAGCGTTTAACATTTTGTGATCAAATTAAAATACCCTGTACATGGGTGCAGCAAAATCGAAAGGTCCTATTTTATGTCCTCTACCTATTAGCTATAAAGCCGCAAAACTCTAACAGAGGCATTCAATTCAATTTCTATAGCTATTTCGAGCTGGTTTTTGTGCTGATTTGATTTCTCTTTCTTTTTTGGTCTATAAAAAACGTGTTTCTTTTTTTTTTGGCTTTTTTTGATGCTGGACGACAACAATGGAAATGCCACTATGCCTGGTCCGGTGTCCTTTGCTGTCACTTCGGGTACTTCGGCTGGGATGTCCGCCTGCAGCCAATTGCAGCGTTGGAAACACGACATTCGTACATGGAGCCACGTTTAAATTGGATTGCAAGACCCAATGCGTTTGCGAGGTAAGTCGGGGGCATGTGTTTAGTCAGCTGCCACACAGACACAGTTGCGGTCAGAGTCAAATGCAGTTGCATTTAGCTGCGGTAGCTTTTGTTGTTGCTGGTGCTGCTGCTGCTGCTAAACCTGTGCCCCTTAGCTTCTTTTTTTTTGTAACTGCTGGCGCAGAATGAAAGGGATCTATTTTAATGTAACAAAAAGTTGATTTAATTAAAATGTTAAAACAAGGAGTCAAGTAGGAGATTCTAGTCGCCAGTAAGCCCCGCCCCATGCTACCTTTATAATATTGCAGCTTTCTTCTATTGCACAATTGTCCGATGGCCATAAATATGACACTTAGATAGCTGCAATTATGCGAGGAAATGTGAAAGCTATCCTGAAAGTGAATTGTTCTAAATCTATATACTTTACAAGAGTTTTTGAGTTGTGCCTAAAAATCGAAATCTGAAAATTAATTTTTTTTCGATTGGCATATCATATAAATAGAGAATAAATATATACTGAATGGGGCCCAGGATACTTCCTGCCTTGTAAAACACTTCTTGGCAATTTATTTACATTCATCCTTGGAATTCAATTTTGGCTCGGATTAATCGTAGGTGTCAAAGCACATGAATTGGACTTAAGCGCAATTATATGAAAAGTGTTGAAAGGAATGCGAAATCTGAGCTGAAGATATGTGTTGGCCACACGAAATCCCAGGCATTGCTTAATGGCCACACATTTGTCTGGAATGTGTGTGTGTGTGTGTGTGTGGAATTCACACCTCTTGCCAGCTGCGGCAGTTTATCATGACGCCCAGGCACATGCCTGGCAAGCCTCTCAAGCCGCAGACACAGTGCAACTTATGTCATGCAATTTTGAGCGAAGTATAACGAATAAAAGAGTATAAAGGGACAAAATGTTAATTGAACGCTGTACTTAGGGTATTAGGCAGCCGTTTATGCCGACCACCGGCGAGTATATTGCGTCCAGCCAATATATTCGCTATAATATGACTTTATTTCCGGCTAAAATAATAACAGCAGCAATTGTTTGGCTGGGCGCCCACATTTAATGTATTTTAATGCTCGCCTTTGCAGAATGGTCGCCATGCCTGCTCCACACTGTGCCCCAACGAGCAGCTGCCGGCGCCGGAGGATACGATTTCATGCAGATCGCCGCGTCTCGTCGAGGTGCCCGGCCACTGTTGCAAAATGTGGCTCTGTGAGAATCCAACAGCTGATGGTAAGTTGTGTTTGTTTGCGCTGCGCTTCCGTCGTCTCGGCCACAGCCGAAGACCCTGGTCCATGGCCTTGTTATTGTTTTATAAGTGTGTTTATGGTCGCAGCCGGCCACTGTGCTCGCCGTGCTGTCCGCGCTCTCCGTTCTGTTCCTGGTCCTCTGTCCTCTGTTAATGGCGCCCAGGGGCGGCAATTCTGCCAGCCATCAACGTCGCAGTCGTCCAGCGCACAACTTAATGCTGTTTAAGCGCCCAGCCAAAAGCGCAACGCATATTTATGAAGATGAATTATTCCATGACAAGGCAACAGTCGGTTTCCAGCTGAAGCCCGAGCTGTTGCTGCTGCTGCTGCTGTTGTTGTTGTTGTTTTTGTTGTTGCTGGAGCTCGAGGCAATGGACAGCAGCAGCATAATTACTTACACAAGGATTAAGTGTTAATTAAACGCGCAAAAATGCAATAAATAAACAAGATTATTAAGCGCTCTTAAGAGCCCCTTACTCGAAACGGTCTTTACGCCTTTAGCAAACGCTTTGTTTGTTCATTAGCTGTATTAATATATATCTACCTATATATATGTATATATACTAGCGGGCATAACCCGTCCCGTGGTACGTATAATTTTCGCCAAAATTAATACTGCCAGATTAAGATGTCAAATTGATCAAGATGTCAAACCATGAGTAAAAAGCCAAACCTTATGAAAATCGGTTGAGTTTTGACCGAGTTATGGGGTGGGAAATTCGACCTATGTCTATATAAGATAAGAATAATGCTGCCGAAAGTAGAAAGGGGAAGTCGTGTTGTAACCAGTGAGAAAAACGGATGAAAATGCGAGGTCACAGGAAAAACCGGAGAGAAATTCGCGAGAAATGATTGAGGATATATTTCTTCTTTAAATAAATTAATAAAAAATTAAATAATTCAATAAACATTTTTTATTAAATAAAAAACAAAATAAATAAATTATATAAATCAAATAAATAAATATAAATAAGACAATACAGATATTGCTCAAATAACCGGAGCAATAGACTCTTGATTTTGTAAGATGTCTAAATAAATAAAAAATACTTTAGTACTCATTAAGTTCATAAATAAAGTAGAAACATTTCTGCAGGAAACATCTCCCTTACTTATGCTGCGCTAAGCACTTGGCCGTTAAGTGGCCAATCATAATCATTAGCAACTCTTTTGTTTTGCGCTCGTTGCAGTCTATGCCACCTGCCACAACAGCAGCACCAGCGGCAACTGGACCGCCTGCAGTCGTGCATGTGGCCTGGGCATGGCCACAAGACAGACAAGCACCCATGCCGGCTGCCATCAATTGAGCAATTTACGGCTTTGCGAGAATCGCAGATGTGCCCAGGACAATAAGAAGACGAAGAGCAACAGCCACAGTAGGCTATTAACCGCTGAGCGCCAGCAGAACTTGGCCAGCAGCCAGCTGCATCAGCAGCATCAGCAGCATCATCAGCAGCGGGAGCGGGCCGGAGTACGTCAGAGGAACGGGCATGGGAAGGGGAATGGGTATGGGCATGGGAATGGGCTGGATATGCAACAGGAGCCCGCACATAGAATAAGAGTGAGTTGTGGCATTGCCAGTTGCGTCCGCCTGATGCGAGTGTTTCTTTGCCCCCACGCAGAAGGGTCACGAGTGCCGCAGCTTACAGCGCCTGGGCCCGGCGAGAATTCGACTGGGCGAGTGCGTCTCCCGCAAACTTTATCGACCGAAACTGTGCGGCAGCTGCCACAGGGGCACCAAATGCTGCATTCCGGCTGTTTCCACAACAATACAGGTGAGTTTTGCTGCTATTTTCAGATTTGAGCTGCCTGCAAGCGGGCTCTCGGGCGTGCTGCAGCCTTTGTGCGTGAAGAATGAAGCGCATTTTCTTAGATTTCCTTTTTGCCACTTTGTCACGTTTGCCGTGCTTTATTTTTTTTTAATTGCATTATTCAATTAAATTAGCGTTCATTTTAATGCAAGTCAGGCGAGGGCAATTAAAATGCAGCGCATTTTTATTTTACGAGCATAGGCCAACAGCTGGCCAGCTTAGGCTTATAATACCCTGTAAAATCAAAACTTGAGAAACGAGAAATGCACATGAGAAGCCAACCTTTGTTAAATAAACTAAGAGAAATTTAAAGTTACATTTTATATACAATTAATTAAGTACTTTAATTGATTGTTGTACTTAATGTTTATAGAGCATTTGACAGTCTGCTATATTAATGTGCTGCAGTTGTTGTTTTTGTTATTGCTTATTTGATTGCCTTTGCCTTTTGACCGTCTTTGGGTATTAATTAAAAAACGAATTGCATTAAAACGTCTATTTGCAATTGCAAGTGGTAGCTGCCGAAGACGGCCAAATGAAATATCAAGTGCTCAGGTGGCTGTCAAAATCGATTTAGCACCTGGCGCCCGATTGCTATATTGCGCTTTTCCCATTTATTAAACGTTAGCTCAGTCAACGGTTGTAGTTGGTTGCAGGATCGGAACTCTTGCCGTGATTTCGACTTGTTACATTTTCAACTTTTATTTTTGTTGTCATTTTTTCTCTTGCAGGTCGAGCTGCTGTGCCCCTTAAATGCCATTGATCCAATTAACTACGTACAAAAGCGAATACAACAGCAGCACAGGCAACAGGATCTGGCAGCTGAGGCGAGCTCTGAAGGTGAGAGTTGGCAGCCGGAAGGCCAGTTATGGGACACCATTGCCTTGGAGCCCATCGATCAGGAATTTCTGCAATCGCATCAAATACAAATCGAGAATAAATTCGTTGCCATCGAATGGATACTGAAATGTGAATGCAGCAAGAATGTGAGTACCAGGGGCGTGGGAGCAGTGCGATGCTGGAAGGGGTCTCCAGCTTAAGCGGATAGTAATATTTTCTGCTGTCATCGGCTGGGCCATAAGTCTGTTCATATTTTCGTACGTCCATATGGGCCTTCCATGCCAGCCAGGCAGCCTACTCAGCCATCGCCAACCCCTTGTCCTATGCCGCTTAACCGACCCCTGCTCCATTATCCACAGCAGCTGCACGAAAATTGCTTTCACTTGTCATTTTAATCGCATTTTTCTTGTTTTTCTTGTCTATAAGCGTTTTCCTTTGTTTCTCTACATACCCTCACCAGCGGATATGACGATATGTGTATTGCATTTCGCATTTCCGATATTATAAAAGTATATATATATATAGAGAAGTATATTTATCTTGATAAAAACTTATTCTTTTTCTAGGATGTAAGTCAAATTAAGTTTATTTTATATTTCTTAAGAAATCGAACCCCTATACGAGCAAGGTGTCTAAAACAACGCCTGAAGTAAAAGCTAAACCGGACGTGAAGAATTCAAAAATCCTTTAGCCTAAAGTAAACAATTGTTGGGCGAGATCCAGCCTCTGAGCATTAAATAATTTGAGCTTCAATTTTTGCTAGAGATCATATTTTGGGATCGGGAAATGAAAGAGGAAAATCATCAAAATTTGGAATATATATGATATAAGGCTCGAACAGAAAGAATCAAAAGTTCCAGAAATGAATCTAAAGTGAAGCGAAACGCGAATATGTTTTTTTTCTTATTTTTGCAATTCTTTTACCAAATGCTGTTTCTTTCCTCAGACAAAAGGAATACAATTAGAGCTGAATTGAATATCTATATTATTGTGCCTAAAATACTTCTTCTCTTGTTAAATACACAAACAGGCAGAATTAATGCTGAAGAGGCAATATTTGTTATACAAGCGTATTTAATATTCGTTGCTAAGAGATAGTTTTGCCTTTTTGGTTGAGTTTGTTTTTTTCCTTTGTATTTTACGTTCTATGCACAAATGTTTTGTTTTGCAAAAAAAATATTACTGCAATTTTTTTGTCGACTGTTTTGTGGGGACTATCTAAAAAATGGGGGTGTGGCAGCAACATGGGCCGGTATTCAGAGTCAGTCGCTCGTTTGTAGAGTTCGCACCCAGCTGTCTGTTGTGTTTTCCCATTATTTTGGCGTATTCATCTTGAATGCCTTTTCCCTTCACCATTGTTGTAGTTTTTGCTGTTGTTATTGCTGTTTCAGTTATTCCGTATTTGTATTTCTATTTGGCGAGTGCGAGTTCTGCAATTGCAATGATTGGATTTTTATGAATACATTCATCAAAGCGCTTTGCCACTGCGCCAACCGGCGACCGGCAACCACTGGCAACCACTGCCAGGCACATTGGTTTCCATACTTTTGGTACATGAATATTTTACTTGCATTCTTTTTTTTTATGCAGTGGGCTTCAGTTCATGTGTGTGTTTATCAGCGGTTTATATTGATGGCAACTGCAGCATGCGCTGTTATAAAGCTGGAAAATAAAGCGAGGATTATTAAATCAAGTTTGATTTTTAGCCCATTAAAAATTAGTTCTTTTTAAATAACTCAATCACGTATATTCAGGGAGAAAAAACACAATTTTGTGTAAAAAGAGAAGTTTATTATTGGAAAGAGCAGTCATTAGGCTGACTTGTGATGTAATTATTGCACGCTGTAGATATTTTTTTTACAAAATTTGCGGCTTAAATGTGATGTTGGGCACAAATTGGCAAAAAATCTGAAAATAAAATATGAGTAGGTAAATAAAATGATTGGGACCCAAGTAATTGTACTATAGGGAAAAGTCTTCCTCAGTAAATTTAAATTTCCAGCCAAACTAGTTTTGATACAAAATTGAGTTCATTTCGATTTTTGGCATGGTTGTTTAAATGTGATCTTTGCCCCAAAGAAATTTACTAAATATAAATCCATAAATCTACAGCAAATATGAATATATAAATCCAATGATTGGGCCCCAACTTATATTTGGCTAAATAAATTTTATTTTTAGTTCAAACTATTTTATAAAAGAGATTGGATTCGTTTTGGGTTTTGTCTCTCCTCTTTATTATTATTTTTCGGTTTGCTTTAAGGTTTGGTTTATAACAAAAAATTAAATGGAATATTGGGCTCGAGCAGCCCTTGTGCATAGAAATATATTATAAACTAGTTAGCAATTGTTTTGTCAAACTAAATATATATAATTGGAGATGTTGCGTGCTGCAGAATATTTAGCAATGTTTAAAGATAATAATACAACAGTTTATCTCATTAACACTTCTGAAAAGAGTGTTGATCTTATCAAAATACAAGAAATATGTATAAGAGATCGAGAGAGCGAGAGAGCGCTCGAAATTCGTCAACGTCAGCGATTAGCTACGCAAATATATGCGAGCAGCTCATTAGCCACGCGTTGCGCTCAACTCATTAGAGCGCAAAGTTGAGAGCTAAGCTGAGAGAGAAAGTGGCCCCGTGGGTCACCTGCGCTGAGGCACATTTCAGTCGCTGGCCGAGCGCTGAGCGGGTCAGACGTGTCAGGTGTGGGGTTACGCATATTGTCGCATAATGAGCGCCGCTTCCATACGCTCTCTGAGGAGAACCAAGCATACGGCTCGCATTGTGATTATTGGCGCGGGCACAGCGGGCATTGCGGCAGCTACACGACTTCTGGAGCAGGGTTTTAAGCATGTGCTGCTGCTGGAGGCCGAAGATCGGATAGGTGGACGCATTAATACCATACCCTTTGCGGACAATGTTGTCGATCTGGGCGCACAGTGGTGCCACGGCGAGCGGGATAATGCTGTGTACCAGCGTGTCAAGGACATGAATGTGTTAGAGGCCACCGAGGCGCACTACGAGACCTTCAGGTGTGTGCGCTCCAACAAGCAGGTGCTGCCGGATGACATTGCAAACAATCTGAAAGCCATCGCGTTTAATTCCATTCCGGAACGGCAAACAGAACTTGTCGATTTCCCGGGCTCGCTGGGCGACTATATAACCAAAAAGTATTGGCAAGAGGTGGGCAAGCTGCCGCCAATGAACCGCACCATAGCCGAGGAGTTTTTGGAGAACTTTCACAAGTTCGAGAGCTCCGTGGAGGCTGCAGATCATTTGTACGAGGTCTCGGGCCGCGGGCATTTGGAATACTGGCTCTGCGAGGGTGAGCTGCTGCTCAACTGGCGCGACAAGGGCTACAAGAGCTTCCTAAGACTACTGATGAATGCCAAGAAAGACGAACCCGAAGATCTGGGAGTGCTCAAGGGACATGTGCTACTCAATAAGCGCGTATCCGAGATTAACTATCAAGCAGCCGATGAAATAGTCATCCGTTGCTGGAACGGAGAAGTGCTGACAGCGGATCATGTCATCTGCACGGTGTCCTTGGGCGTCCTGAAGGAGCAGCATGCCAGCATGTTTGTGCCCGCCCTGCCAGAAGCCAAGGTGCGTGCCATCAAGGGACTCAAATTGGGCACCGTTGACAAGTTCTTTCTGGAGTACCCGGTGCCACCTTTGCCCGAAGACTGGCCCGGATTCTGTTGCCTTTGGCTGGAGGAAGATCTGCAGGAGCTGCGCGCCAGCGAACGCTTCTGGCTGGAGAGTGTCTTTGGATTCTATCCAGTGTCATACCAACCACGCCTGCTGCAGGGCTGGATCATTGGCGAACATGCCCGCTATATGGAGACGCTCACCGAGCAAGAGGTGCTCGACGGCTTGCTGTGGCTTTTCCGCAAATTCCTGCCCTTCGATGTACCCCAGCCACAGCACTTCCTGCGCACCCAATGGCATGCGAATCCCAATTTCCGTGGCAGCTACACCTTTCGCACTACCTATGCCGACGAGCTGCGCACCGGTGCCTGGGATCTGGAGGCGCCGCTGCTCGACGTTGCCGGCAAGCCAAGACTGCAGTTCGGCGGAGAGGCCTCACACAAACACTACTACTCGACGGTGCACGGCGCCGCGGAGACGGGTTGGCGGGAGGCGGATCGCCTGAATACCTATTATCGCTCGCGAACTGCCCAGTTATGAGGGTCTGATAAGCAACTGCCAACAAACCGCGCGTGTCAATAAAGGTGTTCAACAAATGCTGCTCTACTTCATTTTATGCCCGTTATAAGTCGAGTATTAGTTTAGATAATGATTAAAAATTATAAACAGCGTGACAAACACTTGCATTTGAAGTATTGCGAGATACTAGTGCACTCTTTAAAGGCAAACAAATGAGAACATTTAATGTCCAGAACTTTTGTATAGAACTATCTTCTATGTGAAATTTAAAGTCTAGAAAAGGAAGTTGCTTTCCATTGGGAATTTTCTGTCATCTGACTTATCAAACAGCACGAAAATTGTCCCTGCTTAAACAGAATGTTTTAAATCCACTCGTGGCAAAAGGTTTAAGCCCGAGTGGCAATGGCAAGCTGCTTGTGTGCGCATAGAAGGCATATTCATCTGAATGTGAAACAATTCCAGTGTTAGCCCATTTTAGCGTTTGACCCAAACATGTTGACCAACTCATTTGCAACGAGCAACCGCAGACAACAATGTAATTGCACTGTTATTACGGGCCACACACACGAGTGTGCTACGTACTTACTTCGGGGCGTGGCTGAGCACTTAACACATGCAAAGTCAAATAAGGACAAAAATGCAACTGCAAAAATCAGTTTGGCACATTCCGGCCCAGGCACACGAGTACACAAACAAATACCACAACGGCGGAGGCGGGGGAGAACCCGAAAAACCTGAGTGGGCCGCAATGGAAAATGTTTTAACCATTGCCGTCCCACTAGAGCGCCGCCCGACAATGTTGAAAATTCAAATTTATGCCACGCAGAGGCCGAAAGGCATTAGGAGTCCGGTTTCATGTATTTGCTTGTCCGCCTCCTGGTCATATCTGCTCGCAGATTACCCACACAGCTACCATTACATGTGCGACTTTCAAAGACAGCCACTCACCCATTCCCCTCACACTCGACTAC